ACAATGATGGCTACTTCGTTCAATTTCGTATTTTAAATTTCATGGCTATAAATAGCATATATATTCATCGAATTCTGACTTTCAAGCATCCCCTGCGACCTAGTATTTTTCATATCCAATTGTATAGTATTAAAGTCCGAATATACATTTTCCCTAGGTTTGACCGGGAATTTGTTTATAAATGTGAACAACCGGCTACGTCGCTTCAAATCGCGTGGCCGTGGTGTGGCTCGAAATTCGTTCGTTTTAAAAATATTATTAGATTTGGCTATAGGCGCCCTCTGTGTCATTAATAGGGAACTGTCTCATCGAAAACATGCTGTTCCGTAAGCAATGGCCATCTGGATTATATGTTATCTGTTAGCTTATAGATTACCACCATGAACCAAAAGAATACAAAGGTATGATATTGCGCAGGTTGGTTGCTACGTCACAGGTGATAACAGGCGCTATTGGTCAGCAGCCTCGCGCGCCAGTTCAAATCGTCAAGATATTGTTATAAACCTGTTTTGTTTATATAAATCATTGAATTATCGCTAAGCAAGTTGTGGAGCAGTGCGTAAGGAGTCAGGTTAGGAAGCGAGAGACCGGAGTTCGAATCTCGGCCGGGACATAACTTTTTATTTATTTTTAAATACTGTTGTATTCTATAGTTTATTTTTTGTAGTATAAAAAAGAACTATTTATTCTGTGATTTTAATCTCGGTATTAATATAAATTGATTGTTGGTACAATACCTCATTTAATATAAAATAATATTCTACTTTTAAATGTATCGGGCCTAATTGTACCTGAAGAGTAAAATATTTTTTAGTGATACCTTGATATATATTGTAAACTAATTAATATTTCAGTCACTTATAAAGTTAATTTGCATTGAATAATTGTCTACCATTAAAGGAAATTTGAGCTATATAATACTTGATGCGCATCTTCCTCTAAATTTTGGGTTACGTTCAACCGATTTATTCATAAAACCTGAAACATCTACATATAAAAAAGAAGCACAGGTCACTAATTATAATAAACTTCACCCTTGGAATTACTTCCAATAATTATAATAAACTTCACCGTTAGAATTACTTCTATCACAATTACAACACATTCATCTGCTTGGCATTTTCTACTGTTCGATGGGAAACAATGACTTTCAACATGTTTTAAATGATGTAACAATTCCTCTTGTGATTACTTTTCCATAGATATCCTCATCTCTGTCCTCATGTGAATTCAGGGGCAATGAACATGAAAATTATTTACCATAAACATCGCAAACTAAAAACCTAATAAACAATTTATACCGAATATAGAAATAAATTTAGTATTCTTACCTATTATCGTCAAAATCCATGTTAATAGATAATTATTATTTTTTAAATATATTTTTTGGAACGCTGCTCGTTTAGTAATTATTAAATTAAACGAACTAAAAAGTCTTAAAAATAAACAATTCTTAACCATAACCCCAAAAAATATGTCCCGTGTCAACTTTCAGTATTTTTTATTTATTCATTGTTTTCCTAGTGACGTCACAGGTGGTATGCGCGAACTGAACGAATTTGGATGCGCACTCGTCGAAGCTCATTCTCCCACTTCCATATCTCTGATTACCACCTATATACAAAATGACACGGAGACCTGGAATATGGCGCCCAACTTGATTAAACCTTCTGCGCATGTTGAAGCTCATTCTCTATCCCTTCTATTTCTCTGGGTGTAATAGAGATAATATGATGTAAATATTATATTTAAAACCATATTTCTTCTGTTTTATTAAATACATTATGTGTTTTTAAAGCTTCAACTTATTATAACCTCACCTCAAACCTTTGATATTTGAAGGTAAAATACATAGGTTACATCTGGGTTACATAAACTACACCCTCTACATTAACTACAAGTAATATAGTTTATGTAGTTTTTAAAAGTAACATGTAGTTTTCCGAACCCTGCACGCCTGTTACATGCACATCCCATCCTTGGATAATCTGGATATGTCAAATGATGTCAATGTATTGTATTATCTATGGTATTGTCAGAGTCGACAGCAATACCGCCATATAAACAATTTAAAATTTAAAAACCCCTTTTTTCTTACCTTGTTTTTTATGTCTTTGCAAAAGTTTAAAAGTTATCTTGAAAGTCTTTAAACTTTCAAAAAGTCCATCTCTCACTAATATAAATTCCCGAAGAAAATAGCCATATTTTATTATTTCTACAGCAGAGCCTACACACAATGAATCTCCTCGATATGGAAATAAGCTCAACTAGAACAATTGCAAAAACTGATAAATATTGTGAACAAACCATCACTTACTTTTGTAAAGAATCTCCTTTAGGCAAATACTTCTCGGCATTTTATGGCGACGAGCTTTGTTATTTAAAATTTTATGATACAGACTACCAAAACTGTTTAGGACATCTTCAAAAACTTTATCCTGATGCAAATTTGTGCTCTAATAATAATTTTGAAATACCACCAAAATTAAAAATACTGTTGAAAGGATCAGATTTTGATGTTAAAGTTTGGAAGGAGCTGTTAAACATAAAGAAAGGGTTAGAATACATATAGCTATATTACTATCATATACTTGAATTTGAATTAATGGAAATTCGCAAGTTGTCTTTCAATTTTTTAGAAAAACCCTTAGTTACAGTGATGTTGCAATATCCATTGGAAATCCAAAATCAGTTAGAGCTGTTGGGAATGCTGTAGGTAGAAATAACATTGTCTATATTGTTCCTTGTCACAGGGTCATACAGAAAGCAGGCACATTGGGAGGATTTGGATGTGGCCCTCATAAAAAATTGAAAATGTTATCTTATGAAGGTGTAAACCTGTAAATGTCTCTTAAGTACCAATAAAAAATGCCCGTTTAATACATTGATACATTTATTGTACTTAATCATAGTCATATAATATATTTTTAATTCTTTTTACAAACGTGGTCCATTCTACTATCACAGATTAAAAAAAATAATTTATGTTAAACATCTTTGTTTGAAAACATTTCCCTTATTTTTCGCAAATAACAAGCTGGAAAGATCATAAATTTATTTTTGGGAAATGAGTTTTCAAACATTAAAAAAATAACGTTCTAAAATGTTGTGTAAAGTATGTCACAAAAGTAGATAATTATATAGACAAGATATATTTTTGGATAATTATTGGGAAAACTGGAAATCTTCCGATTTTCACCAAAATTGGTATAAACCCTATTTTGAAGTCGTAGATTACGAATCTGAACTTTTTTCTTGGCGGTCTCTTACCGTTTTTCAGAAAAACGGAAAATAATTTCAACATTGAATTTGACAAGAATCTGAACTTTTTTTCAAAATAGGGTGTATACCAATTTTGGTGAAAATCGGACGATTTCCAGTTTTCCCAATAATTACCTATTTTTTAATATATTGAATAACATTTTATTTAGTTTATGACACACTTGTACAACTTCAGCAATTCCTTATATTTTTGTTACAATCTGAGAAATTTTCTTTTCCCTAAATTGTAGCTCCGCTTTTTCTCTTAAAAATGTTTTAACAAGTTTGTTCTTATATGATCTAGATTGCGTTCTTACAGTTACATTCATCTCCGTTTTGATAAACTGTATTAGTAATTTATTTTTAAACTAAGCAAGAAATATCTATGTAATATGACTAGATCATAAAGGAACAATCTTGCTGCAATTTTTGGCAACTAAGTTACGTTATACAGTATGATACAAATATTTACATTGGGTTTTTTACAAATTAATATTTATAAATGGTTTCCAGAACTCTAGCGTTTCAAAAAAAGCAATTTTTAACATACATTTAGGCACCCCGTACTGGAATTCTTATAAAACATTTAAATCAATGAGATTCGAATAAAGCATTTTTTTCTCTTTATATTTTAATAGAGCAATGATAAAAGTTACATAATCTCCTCTTGTATAATATGCCTAATGCATAATGGTAGACTATGACCAAAGGTTTATTTTAATTTCTACCAGTGTCTTTACACCATAGCTCAGAAATCTATTAATACTGAGGTTATATAATAAAGTACATAATACAATATCACTCAAAATGTTTTATGATCAAGCATGCTTTATATGACAGAAAAACGATTATTATTGGAAACTACATTGGAATCCGGTGTTTTAGCATATTTTTATTATAAATAATCTCCATAAAATTTTAAAATATTTTACTTTACTCCATTCGTCGTCCCATACTTTTACTCCAAATTTATAAAAGAAAATTAATTTCAAATTTAGAGTACCTCTGACGTCACTTATAGAAAGTTCACACGTGTGCATACTTTGGGAGTCATTATAGTGCCCCTCTAAACCTACTTACATATTATTACTTAAATTTATAATTCTAGAATGTGAACTATAGGTGACACAAGAACTACCAATATTTTTAAATATTCAGTAAAATACACTCACCGGCAAAAAAAAACCGGCCACTAAAAACTAGTCCCAATTTCAAAGTTGGATTTCTCGCAAACTCATTAGATTTTGATGATTTTTTTTTAATTATAAATTAATTCCTTCTTAACGGATGCTACGTCAGCAATTTTTATTCCGAATTTATTTTGAGCCTATACAGGGCACAACAATAAGACGAAGTTTTTTTGCAAAGGGTGCAGCAGCTGTAGTAGCTATTGCTAAATCAAATCACATTGTAGCCTCATATTTTGTGAGCATTTTGTTTTTTTAATCACGACAATATCTCTGTTTGTATTGGAGATACGCTGCTTTAAGACAAACGCCTCAAAAAAGCTTTAAAAACAATTCAAACACCAGAACGTAGGTAAGTTTAAGCTGAAAACTAACTAAAACATGAAAATTAAAAAAAAGGTAAAGACATTTTAAGGGACTAATATCTAGTGTCCACTCGCCTGGGAAATTTCCCGTTTCCATATACCGATTCCAGGCATCCTGAACTGTTGTTCGAAATATACACAGACATAACGTTGACTTCGGCCATCCTCAATTAAAGCCACAATACGAGCAACATCCGTTACAGATGGCATTTTTTAATTTGACAACCGTTTTTGTCATATTGCAAATACACATAAATCCATTTTCGTCTATGTCGCCTTAAATATTTATACATAAAACTTTCTGCCTGCAAAGCATTTTTCCTAGACGTTCGTTTTGGTTTGAACAGCATATCTCCAATAAAAAAAGAGATAATGTGGTGATTAGAAAAACAAAATGCTCACAAAAGATGAGGCTACAATGTGATTTAATTTAGCAATAGCTACTACCGCTGCTGCACCCTACAGGGTGTTACAAAGTTCGGGCAAAAAACTTCGTCTATATTATTATGTAGTATAGAAAGTAAACTTTCTTACGTAGCATCCGTTAAAAAGGAATTAATTTACAATTTAAAAAAGATCATCAAAATCTAATGAGTGGTTCGCGAGAAATCCAACTTTGAAATTGGGTCTAGTTTTTAGTGGCCGGTTTTTTTTACCGGTGAGTTTATAAAAAAAATTATATAGGAAGTAAAATTACGGTAACGCAGAATTAAGGTACACTCAGAATATAATTCTTTTGTGGCGACCTCTGTTACTTATCCCAACAATCGCTAAATGACCGCATAATTTTCGGCGCTTGTTTAAACCATCATCATTAATTTTTACGTTTTAAAGTTAGTTTTGATTACCTACTTAAACTGAAATAAAAATTAAAATCAAATAATTTTAAATATAGTAAACTACCGAAATTTTATTTGTTCAAATCAATGCCCACTTGTTGATCATAGAACATTTTGATCACAAAGCATCTGCTTTCCATTCAACAATTAATGGCCACTGAAGAAATCTAAGCAAACTCAATTTCACTTATCAACTTATTTTAATTTATATTCACCTTGCTTGCATAACTGCTTTGACTGTTGTTAAAAATAATGTTAAATTAACAAAAAAAATCAATGTTAAAACATAATATAGGTTTGTGATTATTAAACTTCGGTGATGCTCTATGTAACATTTAATTCAAACCACAGCTTATTTACTACCAGCTGACCATCCTCGGTCCTTGATTTTGAAGAGAGCCAGGAGCGTCATCAATGACGCGACTTTAACCATATAGGCTTGGTGCATTTTAGTTAATTGTAAAAATTTTGACAGTAGCTCTCGATACGGCAGAAATCAGAAGTTTTCGTTCTGTATTTTGCGCAGTTTCGATGTCGATCGCATAATGATGATGAGTCTTTGGATATTCAACAAGCTGCTGAAACTGCGCTATCCACGTTAGTGCCCGAGAAGTCGAAAAACTTAAACGAGACCATCTACAACAACTTTGAAACCTGGGTCAAAGAAAAACATGTTGAGAATTTAACAGAAAAGGTATTGCTAGCCTATTTCCTGAAGTTATCCACTGCCTTAAAGCCGTCAATTCTGTGGAGTAAATATTCGATGCTATCCGCACCATGATTTACCTGAACAGAAACATAGATATTAGCAAATTCACAAACCTTATTGCATTTTTAAAAAGAAAATCTTCCGGATATCAGGCAAAGAAATCAAAAGTATTTACAAAACTGGAAATAAAACGCTTTATGAAATAAGCCGATGACAAACAATTCCTGTTAGCTAAAGTTGTCTTAATCGTTCGAGTATTTGGAGCATATAGGAGGGAAGAAATCACGTTTTTGACCGTAGATGCCATTAAAGATTGTCAGTCATTTATTAGTGTGAAGATTCCGAATACAAAAACTCATTTTCCAAGAGTGTTTACGATTACTGAAGGACCAATAGATGGTATTAATATTAATTTCTTACATGTATTTCGTAAGTACGCAAAACTTCGAACGCTAAATGTGACACATCAGCGATTTTTCTTGACGTATCGAAAAAATCAATGCTGTACCCTGCCAGTTGGAATCAATACAATTGGAGATATGCCAAAAAAGATAACGGAATTTCTTGCACTCTCCAAAGCCATTGAATACACTGGTCATTGTTTCCGGCGCAGCTCTGCAAAAATGCTGGCAGATTCAGAGGCGGACATAACAGTTTTAAAGCGACATGGAGGTTGGCGATCAAGCTCGGTTGCTAAAGGTTGCATTGAAAATTCAATTGAACAGAAAACCGAAATAGCAAAAAGGATCATGGGACAGAAAGATACGCCAAATAAGAAATTAAAAGCAGTTCACGTCGAAGCAGAAGCTATCAGCATTGCCAGTACAAGAAACTTACTTATTCTGACTTAGAGACGAAAAGTTGGATGCCTCTTGAATTCACTTTAATAATTTAAGTAATTGTACCTTTAAAATTTATAATAAATAAATATTTTCATTGTTTCTAACGTTTCATTTTTTACTTTTAGGCACTAGTGCCTAAACAAGTGTCACTTTTAGATACTAGTGCCTAAAAGAATGTCATTTTGAATCTCAAACAAATATCAAAAACAGTCAATTTCGAAACGCTTTCACAAAAAATAAATTTTTCGTATATCGCTATTTAAACCCGTGTATTTGTATATGCCGGTTGTTTATGATATTCTTCGATGGCGGCAGCACCGGCGGAAAACGCGCGTTACAATCTTAACATCGAAAAGGCGTTCACCGACAAAATATTGATGACACTCCTTGCTCCTTCTTAAAATGCGCCCATTCATACCTAAGCTTAGTTTCAAAAAAAAATTATTGAAACTTGTGCTCTGAATGCCTGCCCACTATGCAGAGTTCCATGTAAATGATCGTAAGTCGGCAAGCTGGTTGTGAATAGGTTGTGATCGAAACGTTTATCATTTTTAGTTTTTAATTAAAAAAAATATCCTTTATATAGTTTAAACCAAACCGACTAAAATTAATCTGCCAAGGAAAATTGAAAGGAAAGCAGCTAATTTAAAAATTGAGAAGATATAAATGAGTATTCAAAGAAAGT